CATCTCTTTCATTAAAAGCCATTTAAAATTCTATGATTAATTTGAGTGTGAGTGAAAAGAAAAGGAGAAGAAGAAGAATCAAGAAGAGAGTCATGATAAATCTGATTAATAGAAGTACGATTAGAATTAATAGAATGAATTAATGAAATATTAGGAGTGAGTTTAGATTCTTCATGTTTATCATTTTTAATCAAGAAAAGTAGTTGTTCATTAATTTTAGTTGAATTAGAAGGTGGTTTAGTTTTTTGAAAAGAAGCAAATAAAGTATCTATTTCTTTACTTTGTGTTTCTTTCTTTCGTTGATATTCTTTATTCTGTTGTTTCATCCTTTTTTTGATTGTACGTTCTTTAAGATATGTCTTTGTTTTTCCATCAAATACAAATATTGGATAAATCCCTTTTTCTCTACTTTGAATTAATATTTTCATCATTGAAGTATTAACATCTTCTTTCTTCTTCATATATTTAATGATTAACTGTGTTGTATCTATCGCAACTCTTTTCCCTTCAATCTCTTTCTCTTCAATTTCTCTTCCTTTCTCTTTTATTAATTCCCATAATCCTTTTATTCCCATTTCTTTTTTTTCTTTTTTTTCTTTTTTTTAGTTCTTTTATTTCTTTATTTCTTTTTCTCTTTTTGTCAGGTTTTTTTTGAAACTTACATTTCTGAAATTCCACACATATATTTATAAAAGTCAAATTATGAATCATCAGTTATTTTTTGATTATGACGATATATTTGAATATGAAATGTAGTAAATAATGTTATAAAAATGATGTAATCTATTATGAAAGAATAATATTAAAAGAAAATGAAATGAATGATGATGTTAGTAGTACATGAAATTAGAAATAATAATAAAATGCTCATTCATCATAACATAAGAAAACAAAAAAGAGTATATTCATTAACACTAAAGTAAAAATCATACAAGAAGAAAATAAAAAGAAGAAATAAATAGAAGAAGAATGAAAAGACAATAAAAGAAATAAAACAAAAGAAGAAATGATTTTTTCGCAAAACAAAAAGAAAATCTAACTAATAAATAAAACAAAGAAATTAAGTATTAATAGAACTAGCTTCTAGTCTTCCTGCCTCAGGGGAGACTAATACCATCACTTAGTCTTCTTCTTCTTCTAGTAACTCTACGGAGTATGTTTGGTTGTGATAGAAGTTGTATTCCATGACATCCGTCATGTTTTTTATGACAAGGTTTTTTACTTCTTTCTCGATGTCAATGTCAATTTTTAATTCTTTAATTAATTTAATACTTTCTTTATTTATTAATCCAATTATTGAAATTACTACTGGAATTATTCTGACATCTTTTAATTTTTCTATTTTCATTAGCTTATTCTTTAATTCATTATACTTATTTCTTTTCTTCAAATAGGCTCCATTAATATTGTGATAAGCCACAATAGTCATATCAAATAATAGACCAGTTTTATTCTTTTTATCTAATACATATATGTATGGTATTTTGTGATATTGTCCATCACTTTTATGCATTTGTTTGTTAAATCTAACTAATAAATAAAACAAAGAAATTACTTATTTTAATGATGTTTGATGTGAATAATATTCATTAATCAAGGAATAAATGACAATCCTATTTACACTTATTAACTATTTTTTATTACCATATGACTATTTTTTGTGATAATACTATTTTATTAATAAAATTTTCTATCCACTATCAAAATTTAGTTTTTATTAAAAACATTCAACAACAATATGAAGTAATTATAAAAACAAAAAATTTTATTGATTTTCTTTTAAAAATTTACTTAAATTTAAAGAATACTTGGTTGTTGGGTTGAAGGATGGTCATCTTTTTGTTCATTCTTTTTTGTTGGGGGTTCAATATCTATTAATTTTTCTTCTTTCTTCTCTACATTTCCTTCTTCTATGTCAAAACCAGTTTTAGAAACAAGAGCAGCAAATTCTGGACATGTCTTTTTCAATTCTTCAGGAGCTCCAAATCCTAGTACACGTCCTTTTTCTAACATTAAAATCTTATCACAAGTTAAAATAGTATGTAAACGATGAGCAATCATGAACATAGTACTTCCTTTACAATGTGTGAATAATGCGTTGAAAATTCTCTTTTCTGTTTGTAAGTCAACATTAGCAGTAGCTTCATCAAGAACAATAACTTTTGATCTAGATAATAATCCTCTTGCAAGACAAATTAATTGTCGTTCTCCAATAGAGAAATTAGATCCTCCTTCTGCAATTTCAGTCTCAAGACCATTTCCTTTAGAGAAAATATGTTCTCTAATGTTAACATCATCTAATGCTTGAATAAGTTCTTCATCTGTATGTTTTCCAAGAATGTCAAGATTCTTTCTTAATGTTCCTCTGAACAAAACTGGCTCTTGTGGAATAACACATAATCTACTTCTTAATGTTTCAAGAGCAAGAGTAGATGTATCAACACCATCAATAATAATTCTTCCAGAAGTCATTTCGTACAATCTGAATAATGTAACCATAATTGACGATTTACCAGCTCCAGTTCTTCCAACAATACCAACACTTTCTCCAGGATGGACATGAATAGTTAATTCATTGACAGCAGGTGGTAAATCAGGGTTATATGTCATTGTAACATTTTGGAATTGAACATCTCCTGCCTCTGGCCAATTATCTGGAACATGTCCAGTAACAGTTGGATCAGTTTCTTTAATTCCTCTTTCTGATGGTAAAGTCAAATATTCACAAACAGCTTGAATAGCAGTAGATTGGGTTTGAACTTCAACAGATGATTGAATTAATTGATTCAAAATATTATTGAATTGGAACATATAAAGAATAAGTAAAGCAATAAGTGATGGTGAGATACTAGAAATTCTCATTGAACTGAAAATAACAACAGCACCAAGTCCAACACATCCAATTAATTCAACTCTCATTCCAAGCCAACGTTGACAAACATTAGTAGCATAATAAATTTTTTGTTGTTTATTTAATTTTTCTGATAAAATAGAAGTGAAACGGTGATTATTCTTCATGATACGAATAGTGTCTAATCCGAGTAATGTTTCTTGGAATGTATTATATAAAGGACTTCTATAAACCATATCTAATCTTAGTAATTGTTTTGCATATGTCATATACCAATTAAATACATAGAAGAACCAATAAATACTAAGAGCAAAAACACCAAGCATCATATCACATGAAATAGATGTAATAATAACAGTGACAATAGAAAGAGTAACAGAAGAAATAAACTGAGCTAATGACAAATTGATTTTATCATCAATAACAAATAAGTTTTCACTAAATCTATTCAAAATTCTTCCAATTGGTGTTGCTTGGAAGAAAGACATTGGTGAATTAAGAACACGATTTAAGGCATCAAAGTGAAGATTGATAGATGCTCTTCCATTAAATGCTCCAAGAGAGATGAAACGAATAATAATAAATATCAATACAACAAATACAATCAATCCATAAGATCCAACAAGTTCATATCCATTTAACTCTCTAAAGAAAGCAGAATTATTCTTTTTCTCTTCATCAGTCCAAATAACTAACCAGAAGTTAGATCCAATAAGTAAGAATGATGAAATAAAGAAGAATAACATAACAAGAGTAAAGTAAACCCATCCACCATATTTAATATATGTTAACATTGTTCCAAAACCAGCATAAGTTTGTGTATTTTCTTTAGCAATTAATTGAGATGCTTTCATTCCTTTTTTAACTTTTCTTTTCAAAATTCTTTTTCCATGTTCATCACCATGAGATACATTAGCAACATAATTAGAATATAACCTAGAAAATTCACTGTTTTGATTTGCTTTTAATTCTTCAAAAGTACCTTTTTCAATGAAAGTTCCATTTTTCATAACATAAATATAATCACATTCTGGTAAATACTGGAAAGTTTGAGTAATTAAAATACGTGTTTTCTCTGAAAGTACTCCTTTAATACAATTTGTGAAAATGTTTTGTCCAACATTAGCATCAACAGCACTTAAACAATCATCTAATAAATAAATATCTGCATTTTGATAAGTAGCACGTGCTAATGCTAATCTTTGTTTTTGTCCTCCTGATAAATTAGATCCACCAATACCAACTTCCATTTGATCAGCACCAGGGAAATTTTCTAAATCATTTCGTAATTCACAAGCAGCAACAACTTTTTCATATAAATCATTATCATGTTTCTTTCCAAATACTACATTATCATGAACAGTAAGATTTTGAACCCATGCATTTTGAGCTACATATCCAATTTTTCCATTATAAAGTGCCATACCATTTGTTTTGTGTAAATTACCTAATAATGATTTAAAGAATGCAGTTTTACCACATCCAACTTCTCCAATAATTCCAATAAGTTGTCCTTTTTGAGCAGTAAAGTTAATGTCTGAAAGTGCAATTGAATCATTATCTTCCCATGTATAACTAGCATGTTCTACTGCAATAACAGGTGAATCTGGTGAAGCAGGTTCTACTGCAACAATGACATTATCAGCGTCTCTATCTTTTTGATCTTCACCTTTTAATAAAAATTCTTGAATTCTTCTCATTGAAGTAACACCTTGCATAGTATCATTTAATAATTTAGGGAATCTAATAAGAGGAAGTCTCATAATATTAAATAATCCAAGAGTAATAAATGCATCCATTGGCTTAAGAGCTCCAGAATCACCTCCTGCAATTATAGTAATAATACCGTATGTAACAAAACTAACTGAAGGTGGAATAGCCCAAACAATAAAGTTCATACAACTTCTGAATGCAATAACAAATAAAATATGTCTAACTTCCTTCTTTCTTGTTTCGTGTAATTGTCCATGAAGATGAGATTCCCATACCATTACTTTAACTGTTTTAATTGCATTTAAAACTTCTGTTAATAATTTGACACGAGTATCTTTAATAATCATTAACTTTCTCATTTGTCTTACAATAAATCTAGCCAATACAACATTAGCAAAAACAGCAAGGAACATAATAACTAATCCTGCAAATGCAGACCATTGAACTACACAGAATAACCAAACAATAGAAATGATAACTTCTAATGAACATGACCATAACAAATGAACTTGAGAACACATATCATTAACACAATTTGCATCAACTGACATCATATTAAGAATTTGACCATGTGGTGTAGTAGAAAGTGATTTAGCATTCATTGAAAATATTCTTTCATACATAGCCATAATAAGTGTTGATCTCATTTTTTGTCCAACTAATGTAGTAATATAATTAAAGTAATGTCCAGAAACAGATGAAATTACAGCAATAATAGTAACTAATACACCAAATAACATTCCTGCACTTCTACTATATCTCCAGTCTAATTCTTCAGAACTAGCAGATTCAAAAACAGTTGTAGAATATGAAGATCCGTCTTGATATGAATGCCATTGAGATCCCATCCTAATCATAATAGTTTGAGCAACAATTGGAATAAACATAGTAATATCGAAAATAAGTCTAGGGATGATAGCTATTAACATTGCTTTTCCATTTAATTTAAACATAACTCTTAATAATTTAGGTTTTGTTTTTTCTTTTGCTTTTTCCCAAGCAACTTCAAATTGTCTAACAAGATAGTTAGATCTATTTTTTATATCTAATTGATCAATGTCTGAAACATCCATTGTCATTCCTTTTTGATATCCTCTTTTAAATCCTAAAATCTCCTTAATATTAGAAAATGTAATAAAGTCAATGAAATGTTTTACTTTTTCAAAGAAACTTCTTTGTGGTTTAGCACGAGAATCTACAGGTTGGTTATTTCTTAATAATCCTAAAGTATCGTTTTGATATGATTGACTAACTGATGTATTAGACATTGGAGTAAAATGAATTGATGAACCATAAATATCCCCTCCTTCATTATTTTCTTCTTGACTATTAGATCTATCAGCATCCCTTTCTTCTTTATTTGAAGAAACAACTCTTTTATATTCAGGATTAATAAATCTGTTGTCTTGTTTAAATAACATTGAAAATGAAAGAATTAAAGAAGCAACTACTTCAATCCAATAAATGACAATAAAAAGAATATTTATTAAACTAATAAATGTTCTATGTGAATCTGATGAAGTAACAGTTCCAATAAATAATAAATGAATAAACATTTGTCCTAAAATAAATATTTGAACAAATGTTCCAAAGAATACTGATCGTTGTCTTTCAAAATAAAAATCAACCATTACAATTAACCAATCAAGACAAAGAAGGAAATTTGGAATAATTAAATAATAAGCAATTCCTTCTTCTGGATCATAATATTTAATATCTGTTTCTTTATAAATAGTAGAATTCATAAGTCCATAACATAATGGAATAACTGCTCGTGCCAAACAAATCATAAATATTACTACCATTGGAACAATTCGAAAGATAAATAACCAACTAATTGTTTGTGGTACTGTTGTTTTTGGCATAAGTATTACTTTAATTAATCTATAGAATAATGGTCCAAATAATAATAATGTAAATAATGTCATGGCAAAACCAGATAAGTACAATGTTAATTCTTCATGTTCTTCATCAAAGAACTCTGGCGCTTTGTTGTCTGTAAACCATTGGAAAAATGCACTATCTGAGACAGCCATTTATTTTATATTTTCTTAGATATTATTTTTTAGTTTATAATCTAAATTGTCCAATCTCTAAATCTATAATTATTTTTTTCTTTTTCTTTTCTTTTCATTACCATTTACTCTTGTTTTTCTTTATTATTCTCTTCTCGTGGTAACATTTTTTCTCTCTTTTGCTTCTTCTCTCAAGGGTTTATCTGAAAAAATTTTTCTGAACTAATCGACTTTTCCTTGTTATTTTTAGTTATTTTCATTGAAAAGTATTGTTTTTATCATATTTTTATAACTATTCTATAACAAAATAATAATAACAAAAATATTGAAGACATTTAAATTTTTGCTACCTCAGTATAACACAACGCAACTTTTTCTACAAACCAGTCAAAGTCTACTTTTCCTCCATAAGATGGAAATACATTAACATCAACAACTAAAGGATTCCCTTGTTCATTTTCCTTAATAAAGTCAATCCCACATAACTGAACACCTAATGCACAACGAACTTTATAAGCTAAATCACGCATCTCAGCTTCACTTGTCAAATTTAACAAGATTGGGTCTTCTAAAATTTTACTACCAAAACGATTAGCTGAATTTTCAATAATATCTTGTTTATCTATTACCCCTTCAGGCCAACTAAGTATATCTTCTAAATGTTGATTATTAAAATCAACAGATTTTATTCCACATCTATGAACATTTGGTAAAGACGTTCTTGTTTGCCATTTGAGAGTATTTCCAATGCAAAACACTTTTACAATTTTATTATTATGGTTTATATAATGTTGACATAAACAAGGAAAATGAATGTCATCTATTCCTTCTTGTTCTAACACAATCTTCATTTGATGTGCATTAAAAGTACCTTGTGCATTTTCTGGTTTAACAATGAAAGGAAGAATAAGTTGTTTTGATTGAAGTAATTGAATTACCTCTTCTTTTGATTTAACACTAAATGAATTAGGAATAGGAATATTATTTTTAATGAGAAGTGCATTAATTTCTTCTCTACTACTCATCATGTCATGAATTGCACTACTTTCTAAGAATAAAACTTTTGGATGATCTTTTTCATATTTTCTCATTTCATCTGCCATTTTACCTACTGGGTGTGTTCTTTTAGTGATGATGGCATTAGGCTCTTTATCAGGTAATTCAGTTGATAAAGTAACATCAAATATTATATTATTTAATTCAAATTGAGTATGATTTTTTGTAGAAATAAATAAGGTTTTTTGTTTTGATTCAGGAAGCCATATAAATAAAGAAACAGTTTGTTTTGTTGTCATAGAAAGATATAACAAATAAAAGATAAAATTAAAAAGTTATTTGTTAATAAAAATTTAATCAAACATAAAACCTAATTTTCTTGAAGGATAACTGAAGAAGGATAATAAAATTGAGCACAGGTAATTGTTGTCGAGTTAATTGAAAGTGAACGAGCAGACTCCATTAATCCTTCTATTAAGATGTCCATTTCTTCAGTACTTAATGATTGAATTACACAATTTCCAGCTGATGTTTTAATTAATAATTGAAAAGTATTGAGTCTTAGAAAGAGAGTATTTGATAAATCCATTTGAACTTCTTGAATCAGCCGAATATCATAAATTTCTTTATTTATGACTATAGCCTCAATAGAAAAAATCATTAATTGTCCATCCGCACATTGAATTACTCGTGTCTTCTTTTTATTAAATCTATTTATTTGATAAACATAAAACAACCCACCTAAATGAATATATTTCTTTTGAATAAATTGGTCAATTATTGAATTAATGTGTTCTACTTCTACAAATTCCATTCTCTGTCCTTTCTCAAGAGATTTTTTCGTGATAGTATCTTGTCATATACTATTGAATATTTTTGTGTTTTTTCTTTATTAATTAATACATATTTTTTGCTAACGTTTTGTCATTCATTAAAATAAATATATCTCAATTTATTTTGGTTAAATTGAAATTAACAAAACTATATAAAATAAAATATATTAAATTTAATGAGAAAAAAGAAAACATAGAAAATAAGATGAATGGACGACAGAAGAAAAAAAAAAGAAAACTAAAAACAAGATCGTTGAGAAGAATGGACATACCACCAAATTCAAATAATGAGATAGACATAGACGATTTACTAAATGAACCAAATATGACTAGTGCAGATACTATCAGAAAAGAGGCACTTCAAAAAGAAGAAGAAGAAAAACGGATTCAAGAAGAAAAAGAAAAGGCTGAAGAAATAAGACGAGCTGAGGAAGAACAAAAGCAATATGAAGAGGAGCAATATCAAAAACTACTTGAAAATCAACAACAAGAGCAAATAGAAAGAAAAATGAGTAAAGTAGATAAACGTGTTGAAATTACACCTGCATTATTGTTATGCCATTTTAATGTAGAAATTAAAGCAATTTATCCAATTCGTGATGTTATTTATTTTAATAGAAAATCATTAAAATCTAGAGAACATTTATTTAGTTTGATTGATTCAACATCATTTGATATATTAACTACTGACCCATGGTCATCAGTTTATTATACTTCAGAAGATTGGACATTTGCACCAATTTCAAATGAAATGGTTGATGATAATATTCTTCAAGATAGGTATAATATTGAAACCAATCAAAATTCAGTTACATTTCATAAAGAAAGAAGAAATAGTAAAATGCCAATTATTGAAGCAGAAACTGAATTTCCTTTTTATGAAACATATTTTTACAATAAAAGTTTGTTTGATTAAATTTATAATTTCTGTTATACAAAAAATTTAGTAATTAATTTTTATTAGAAACTGTTAAACATTATTTGGATAAAGAAGATTCAATACTTCTTTCTGTAGATGAAAGTAAAAAATATAAAAAAGCTATTTTAAGAACAAGTAAAGAATATGTTAAGTTAGTTATTCCACCTGACACTGATCCAACAAAATATAGAAATATCTTCCCAAGAGGAGCTAAAATCATAAAATATTCAAATATTCCTCAAATTGATGATGAATTATTAACAATTGAACAAAGATCAACAGTAAGAAAATATAAATTTGGAGTTGTTTGTGTTAAACCAGGACAAGATGAAAATGCCATCTTTGGTAATGATGAAATACCAAAACGATTTTATGAATTAATGTTTTTAATTGCTGAAAAAATAAAATTAGAAGGATTTGGTGCTTATAGTGGAGGTTTAGATACTAAGTTTAATGAAACTGGTGAATTTAGTTTCTACACAAAATATTTTAATAATGAAGTTATGTTTCATGTTGCCCCTTTATTACCAACAAGTGATAATGACATCCAAAAATTAGAACGTAAAAGACATATTGGAAATGATATTGTTGTATTAGTTTTCTTAGAAGAAGGAGTTAAACACTTTGATCCAAGGTTATTTACTTCACACTTTAACCACATTTTTGTTATTGTTCAACCAATTAGTAAAGAAGAAGCATACACAACATTAGGTATTGATTTAAAAGAAAGTGACTCACTTAGCTCTAATCCTATTAACACCACACAATCTGATGATGCTCTTAAATGTATTGATCGAATGACTTTAGAAAGTATTGCTAGCTCTAAACAAGTAGTTGGAGGTGATAAAAGTACATTAGATACAAGTGGATTAATTGACCAATTTTGTCGAGTATCTGTTGTAACAAAACCTAGTATATCTCCATTTCCCCCTTATCTTGATAGTGGTGTTTATCGTATGGATTTGAAATTCAGAGATTTTTTGATGCAAAAAATGATTAATGGTGAACGTACTGCTTTACGTTATCCACCTTTTAGGACAAATGCTGAAAACACACGAAGACAACAAATAGCGTGTATAGCTGCAAAGCTTTAATTTATTTGAATATGGTTGATTGTTTTCTTTAATATATTATAACTTTCATTAATAATTGTGTAACTAACAAATAAAAGTATTTTTCATGTTAAACAATAAAGCTAATACTTTATTAAAAGAATTATCTTCTAATTTTTATCATATAAGAATGGATTGTTCAAATGAACGTCTTAATTTAAAGTAATACGTTTCAAAAATTTTCCGTATCATAAAAAGCTTTTCAGAAAAGTATCAAACAAATAATCTTTTTTCTCTTTGAAGTTAAAAGGATGAAAAATAAGTTGAAGAATGCAAGAAGACTATGAGAGAATAATTGAAGAAAAAACCCTAAACTTTTCATCTTAAAAAATTAATGAATGATTTACAATATTCAAAACCGAACATCATTGATAATCAAAAAGAAGAAACCACCGCCGACCATCATAGTGTAGAAATTAATACAGCCCAAACTAACATTAAACCAAAAGTTCTTGGAACAATGAAATTAACAGGAATTCTTTTTATTTCTGTTGTTGGAGGAGCATATGGAGCTGAACCTTTAGTTCAGTCCGTTGGTCCTTTAGTATCTACAATTATCATGATATGTTCTTCTCTATTAGTCATGCTACCTATTTGTTTGATTACAGCAGAACTATCTTCTTGTTTACCATCAAATGGAGGGTTAGTTGATTGGGTGACATCATCAATGTCTCCATATTCTAATTTCTTTACTATGTTTATCACTATTATCTCATTAATTGGTGCTACAATTGACAATGCAGTATATCCTACATTATTTATTGGTTATCTAACAGAAAAAGTACCAAATTTAGAACAATGGGCAATTGTATTAATTAAATTTGGAGTAACATCTGTTGCAACTGTATTAAATGTAATTGGAGTTGATATTATTGGAAAGGTGAGTGTTTTATTTACATTATTTGTGTTGTCTCCATTTGTAATTTTTTGTTGTGTTGGAGTATTTGATTCAAATGCACATTGGGATAATTTAATTGAAACATTACCATTCAAAGAAATGAATTGGTCATTATTAATTTCAGTATTATTTTGGAATATCAATGGAGTAGATGGTTGTGGTAATATTAGTGAAGAAGTCAAAAATGTAGAGAAGACTGTACCACGATCAATGTTCTTGTTAGTTATTATGACAGTATTAACATATATTATTCCATGTTCTGTTGGTACAATTTTAGATGACAATTGGGCTAAATGGCAAGAAGGTTCATTTGTATCTATTAGTGAAAAAATTTCTATTGGATGGATTGCAAAATCACTTCCATGGTTAATGTTTATAGGAGGACTAATATCATCATTAGGATATTTATTAACTTTGTTATGTACAGCTTCAAGACTGTTCCATGGATTTATTCAACTTGACTTCCATAAATTAATAACAAAATATGTTGGACATGTGAATAAAAAATTTAATACCCCTGATGTTTCTATTATTCTCCAAGGAGTTTTAATTTTTATTTTATCTGCTTCAATGAATTTTGATGAATTAGTTGGTGTTGATTCAGCGTTTTATGCAATTAGAGTTTTATTCATTTGTATTGCTTATATCCTTCTTCGTTATAGATACCCTAATCTTCATCGTCCTTATAAATTTGGATGTAACTTAACTTTGGCTGTTTTATATGCAACTCCAACAATTATTTTTTGTGCGGCTTGTTGTATTCTTGGATTATTGTCTTCTACATTAACAGTTATATTAGGAGGAGTATTACTTAATATCGTAATGATTTCCTCAGTAATTTTCTATTGGTTTTATCCCCATGAATTTAAACTCCATGAAAACCTTATTGTTCATATGAAAGGAACTGTTTCTGGTTATGCTGATGAAATCACTAAAATTAAAGAAGAAAATAGGAAATCAGGAACTGTTGCAATTATGGATTCTTCAGCGAGTTATTCAATGACAACAGAAAGTGATAGTAATAATAGTTCTTATCAAGAGCAGTTGAGTATGAGCAGTGACTCAATGAAATAATTGAATCATATTTTTTGTTATATATAATTAAATAATTTCTTTTATTAGGATAAATTTAAAATAAGTTAGAAATAGTAATAGTTTTTATTGAAAAATTATACTAACAGAAAATTAGAACTTAAAAAAGGTGAAAAGAAGAGAAAAAGATTAAAAATTGAGAAAAAAAGAACTAGGAAAAAAGGTTCAATTAAATGAGTGAACAAAAGAAGGTATTAACTGCAGAAGAACAACAAGAATATAAAGAAGCATTCCAATTGTTTGATAAGGATAATGATAATAAGCTTACAGCTGAAGAACTCGGAACAGTTATGCGTGCACTTGGAGCAAATCCAACAAAACAAAAGATTAGTGAAATAGTCAAAGATTATGATAAAGATAATAGTGGTAAATTTGATCAAGAAACATTTTTAACTATTATGTTAGAATATGGACAAGAAGTAGATTCAACCGAAGATATTAAGAAAGCATTTGAAATTTTTGATAAAGAAAAGAATGGCTACATTTCAGCTTCAGAGCTTAAACATGTTTTAACTACTCTTGGAGAAAAACTTACTGAACAAGAGGTAGATGACCTTTTAAAAGAAATTGGAGTTGAAGAAGGGTTGATTAATGTTGATGATTTCGTTAAATTGATTACCAGCAAATAATAAATTCACTTTTTTATCAATACTTTTATTTTTATTATTTTAATAATAAATTTTATTATAATTTATAATAAAATAAATGGATGAAATAAGTTAATTACAAATTTCCTCCATCAATAGACTGTCTTGATGAAGAGGCACTTTCAGATTCTGAGAAATTACTTATTAAGGCAACAGATGCACATGTCCATATCTCTAGTCTTATTGTTTTAAAATTTTCATTAACTGTTAATGGTTCATTTTTGAACGTTGGACAAGTATATGTTTGACCTTCTAATGATCTATTGAATCCTAAACCAGGGAAACCATCACCTCCACCCATAATAAATTTGTCTAAATTTGTCATAATAAAGTAATTGTTTGCTGATGTTGAACTGTATTTCTTAGTATAAGGTTCAATTGTAAAAAGGAAAGACTCTCCTGTACCATAATAATGGCGATGAATTTTAATTGGGTCTGATACATAACCACCAAAAAGTGCACCAGTATCATCTCTGACTAATATAATTAATGGAGAACGTGCTGCACATAAAGAGTATAAATTACTTAAAGAAAAACCATCAGTTTTTGTTGAAAAAAGACAAGTAAAATCCATTATTGCAAATCTGTCTGGTAACATTGATACAAAATCTACATAACTATTAACTGGAATCATATCACTAGGAAGGGTAAGATTTGTCATTCTTTCTTGAATAAAATGAAGGTTTTTATTTTCTGGAGTGTATGGTGTATTTGTAGAATGAACTGATTCCTTAATTGGTAATAAGAAATGGTAATTTGCATAATCAGGAAATGGAAGGTCTAATGTTTGAGCAATCACTCCTGGTGCATCATATTCCAATACTTTAGAAAACGTTGGGATTACTTCTTCACTTCTCTTAGGTGGAGTTGCTGATTGTTCAATTAAAATAAGAACAATTTTTAATGCAAATGGATATCCATACAATAAAAGATGTTCTAGAATCGTTAGGGCAATGAATTTATCTATTGAATCTAATAATGGGATTAACAAATTTGTAAATAGGTTTTCATAAATTGAAACTAATGACACTGTTAAAGAGTCAACATAATCTGGAAATCTCTCTCTTACTAATTCATCAAATGCAATAAAAAAATAATCAAATTGGACAATAGTATATGGATAAAGTCCTCTATAAAGACAATTACATACAAAACAATGAGTAATAACATATGCCTCTAATCCAGAATAATGTTTTACTAATAAATTAAGTAATGGACCAACAAATTGAAGTTTATGTGATTTTAATTTACCAAAAAGGATATTAAATACACTAACAGTGAATCTATGTGCTGGAATATCACTATCACTTGATGTGATTGAATTCCTTTGTAACTCAGTAACACTCATTCTTGGTCTTTCACTTAAACTTTCGATAACATGACTTCCAAATGAACTTGAGGTTTTTCTTTCAAATGCCATAAGGTCTAATGATGTTCTTGTTTTACTATCAATAGATGTTCTTAAATGATCTTCTGGTACGTCATTAATAAAAATATTAATAACATTTCTGTCGTTTTGAGACTTTAACTCATCTCTATTTTCAGTAGTAACTTTATCTTCATTTAAAGAGCCAATTCGTAATTGTACTGGAGAAGTTAACATAAATGAAGTTCTTTTAAACAATGTTGATTTAGATGAAGCAAAAGGGAATACAACTTTAATAACATCTGATACCAATTTTGGATGACACTGCAAACATTCTTTAGTACCACTTAGAATAAGTAAACCTTCTCTTGGATTAACAGTATGAGATATCTCAGATTTAATATTATTAATTAAACTTTTCCATAATGAAAGTACATGAACCAATTGGTCATTTCGTTTTCGATCTCGAGCACGAATCTTTTTTTGATATTGTTTTTCTTTTCCACATTTTGTATAAAGAAAACGAAAATATTTACACCAAAAAATGTTTTCTGGTCTAAACAACTTGGTTAGTGTTTATTCATTAACTTTTTAAGTATTAAAAGAATAAAACAAACATATCATTAGGTACAAATGATGAAAATACATTGTGTACATTTTGATGAGTAACTAATACAACAGCAATATGCATTAATTGGTTATGTGTTAAAGGGGTAAAAGCCTCTAATTAATGTTATATGATTATAGCTCATTGTCTTAATATAATCGAAAAAAAAACAAACGAATCTCCTTTTTTGTTGGATAAGGAATTGATAATATACATTCTTTACTGAAATCATGTAGGACAGGATTTAAAGAATCGAAATCAAGAATAAATTTTGAGTTGGATTTACAGTCAAAATACTGTTTCACATCCATAGTTTAATAAAAAATGATAGTTTATTACTTTTTAGATTAAACAAAATTCACTTTTTTCGTTTTTATCTTTTTTGTTTTATTCTCCTCTTTTTCTATTTCTATTTCCTTCTAATTTTATTACTGTATTTTTAGAAAAAGAGAAGTGTTTTTTTTCATAAAAAAATCGAGTGATTTAAAAAAAAAACCCGTTTTTTTATTTTATTATTACGTCATTTAATTGCTAGAAATGAACTCTATTACACTAATAGAGCATATTGAAGAAACTGAAATAATCACTTCTCAGTATGAAGAAAATCCAATTGAGGATATATCTAATAATTGACCTTTTTTTTTTTTTTTATTATTACGTCATTTAATTTTGAAACACAATCTGGTTTTTCTATTATTATTACGTCAACTCAATCTTTTGATAATTTATATTTTGAGATTACACCAATAAAAAGATATTATTTAGTCATAAGAATAATACTATAACTAAAACTATAAAAAATTAATCTCTTCGGAGGAAAATAAAAGATTTTTTTTTAGATGAAACTACAAATTATTATATTCCTTTAAAGATGTTGAATGCCACCCAAATACAACGAATAATTCCATATGTTTCTCTAACAACAGTGAAACAACTTATTCAAGTAAATAAAAAAGTTAAAATGGCTATAGAAGAAATGAAAGTAATTCCACTGTTTAAAACAGTAAAAAAACAAGGAAAAAATCTCAAAAAAGATTTTTTTGTTATTTCAAAACTATTTCCACAAGCCATTGCAGCTACTATTGATGGAAAAGAAATGACACAACTTGATGATGAAGGACGTGTGGAATGGATTGATGAAGAATATATTATAAAATTTTCACAATTAAGAATTATTAACTTACCTGATGACTATGGAGTTATAATGAATGTTAGAAAACAAATTGTTGGTATAGAAACAAAAATATATTATTATGATGAAATAGACTTTGACTATTTCCCATTATTATATAAACTTTGTTTAGATTTTGATGGAGTTTCATTTGATTTTAGTGAAATGTTTATAAACCGATGTTACAATGTTGAGCTTGTACGCATTAAAGGATTTACTGATTATCAATTACTTATTAATATCTTAAAAAGTGTGTTAATTGGGAATAGAGTAATAATTGAAGTTAATGAAAATATCACAAGAGAAGAAGTTGAAGAGCTTAGCAATCATTGTATTGTTACTTTAAAAACTTTTAAAAATTTTAAAACTAATGAAATAAGCAATAAGATTATTGTGTTAGATGGAAGATATTATGATGAAATAGAAAATGATAAAAATTGCTTAGGGGAAATAAATGAAGATTTAATGTATTTAATTAGTGATTCAAATGAACTGGAAGACTTGACTGTAGAAGGTGTTTCATTAAGTAAATAGATGTTCATTGTTATTAATTGCTTATTTTTAGTTATCTATTTTTGTTTATCTTATTAATATCCTTTTCCAATACAAGAAATACAACAAATTTTAATGCATTGGTGATTGTGTAAATCCTTTGTGTATTGTAAAGAAAAGCAAACAAGTTATAAGATCTAAGGTTATACTATAGAAGAATGAATGTCAATATCAATAAATGGTATAACAATAACAATAATAATGATATACTAAGGAAAAATGGATTAGAAGATGAAAGACACAAAGAAAAACAAATAAAAAAACAAGGTAAATACAATAATAATAAAGATTACACAAATAACAAATATAAATGGCTAACAATAAATGAGATACAAGAAAGAATAAAAAGAATAACAATGGAATGGAATAAAGGAGAATATAAAGAAATACTCAAAAAGTAGGAAGGTAAAAGGAAAAGATGGTATAACATTCTTCAAGAAGTACATTCAATCAAAATGAAGAAGATAATTGAAGAATCAAAGAGGAGTTTAAAGAAAAAAACAAAGGACATTGAAGAAAAGACATTAAAACAAATGAAGAAGAAATTAAAAACAAAAGTCTAAATAAAGAAATGAATGAAAGATGTAAAATTGCAAGAATAAAAAATAACAAACAAAGTATATTGAAAGTACAAGAATAAATATAACAAAAGAAACGAAATAGACATTTAATTGAAGTATTGTATTGTTTTGCAATTAATTGATTAAATAAGAAATTATATAAGAAAATAAGAAATGAACAAATAGAAAGCATTATAAAAGCAATAAATATCAATGTCAATAATGAAAATGAATATATTAAATATATTAAAATATCACATAAAATAAAAGAAAATACTAAACAATACATTAAAGTGAAAGTAAATGATATAATAGAAAGAAGAGTAGAATGTAATTCAATAATAAAGAAAAAACATATTAAAGAATAATTCTACAGAAATTGATGAAGAATATCTTAACACTCTCATCAATAAAGTAAAAGAAATGAAAATAGAAAAATGTTCAAACATTAATTACTACTTTCAAAGAAAAGAGGTTGACCGATTAATAAATGAAATTAATAATAGATGGATATTGTCAGGAAGCAGAATGCATTATCTACAAGATGATATGAAGATGATTTCAATGGTTATGCACCTCTATCTCCAAAATAAAATAATAGGAGATAAATTTGATGAAATAAAAGAAATCCTAAAGAAAATCAATAGACTAGAA